GTGTGTGTGTGTGTGTGTTTCCCGGAGGGCAGGGCTGGGGAGGGGGGTTGGAGGTGGGAGGAAAGTGAAAGCAGATGCAGACTTGCAAGGAATTTTGTGCTAAAGGAAGAGCAGAGAACTGGGGTGGGGAAGACTAGCTTGCTGGTGGGAGTCACCTGGGGGGCAGTGGGGCTGACCCTAGAGGAGGGTGCGTGGCAGGGGCTCCATCTGCGACGGGGAGAAAGGCTGGGCGTGGACGGTCACGTGCTCAGTCTACCCCACGGGGGCTAAGGGCGCCCCTCCGTCTAAGGGGAGGGACAGACGCACGAGTGCTGGACCTGCTGATGACCGAGCGGGAGTTTATGCCAGCCTGTCACGGGCTGGTTGCTGGGCAGAGATGGACAGAAGAGGCAGGTCCTGCCCTCCTGGAGCTTCCTCTGGGCAGATGGACAAACAGCAAGCTTGGGTAAGTCCACTCCAGGCCGTGCTGATTGCATGGCAGAAATAAACAAGAGTGGGGCCTCCCAGTGGCTCAAGGCCACAGCTCAGAGCCCAGGGAGGTGGCGGAGCCCGGGGAGGACACACAGTGGGAGCCGTGTGTGAGATTTGGGGGACACCGTCCAGAGACCCAGAGAGCAAAGGGCAGTGTGAGGCACCCGAGAGAGTGGCTGACAGGGAGAAGCTTTATGGAATGCGCTGGCTGTCCAGAGGCCTCCCAGATCCCCCGTCCTGTCCCCAGCGGATGAGGGACATCGGAGAGAGGAGGGACGCGGACCAAGCACAGCAACGGCCCCAGAAGCCTGCCCCAGCCGCAGGGGCCCAGAACCTTGGGAATCACCGGCAGGGCTTCATGAAGTGCTTGCTGGAGGTGGAGGAGGAGGAGGCCATGCATCGGAGAGGCCCCAAGGCCCGGGCCCTGCCCAACAGGAAGTCCCCCAGGACGCCTGCGCCCAGCTCGGCCCCCGGGGGCAATTCAGGGCCAAGCCTGCCTCCCACCCTGCCCCAGGCCCCGCCCTCAGCCCCCGCCTCGGCCCCCTCCTGGATCTGGCCTTCGGGCTCGGTCCCGGCCTCAATGCCCGTGCCAGTGCTGCCCGCCCCTGCCCCAGACCTGGGCTGGAAGAGGACCGAAGTGTGGCACCAGGCCTGCGAGAGGACCCTGAGCTACGGCAAGGCAAGGTAGGAGGCGCCCCGAAAGGGCGTCAGAGATCAGAGCCCCTGGCAGCCGGACACCTCTTCCAGGCCCCTGTCCAGGCTGTCCCCCACTGCCTCCCTCGCGCTCCCCTCCCTCCCACCAGCTGTCTTCTGGTGCTGATCCTGTTTCTGACCCTTTTCTCTTCTGCCCCCACCGAGGGAGCCTCGCTCAGGGTCCTTCCCGTGATGGGCTCTGTCTCCCCTCACCCCCCACCCCCAGCCAGCAGCGGCCGGGCCAGAGGCGGGCGGCTGGACGCGGGTCTCCCTCCGCAGGCCCCCGCTGGAGGAGCGCAGCCTGCTGCAGCTGTTTCAGAGCTGGGAGGACAGGACCGAGGAGCAGCTCACCCTGAAGCAAGAGGAAGGTGGGGGCCGGGCTGGCGGGCAGCCCCCCACCCCAGCCCCACAGTACTTTGGGTTTACACTCTGGCGTGGGGGTCACAGGTTGCCCGTCGTCGGGGGCCGCGCGACGGGGCTGTGATGGGAATGGTGCAGAGCAGAGCTGACCCAAACTCACGCCCTATGATGAGGAAGCAGAGCCCTCGCTGGCCCTCACTTGAGGTCCAGACCTCCTCTGGTTCCTCCTCTGAATGAGGGAGCAAATCCTG